AGCTCACCCAGCTCAGTTGGGACAAAAGGCCCGAGCCCTTCGCAAACCCTCCCAGAGCGGAGGCCCAGCCCTGGCCTCTGCAGCCCCAGAGCCTTCACCCCTTTCTCTCCAGGGCTGCAAATCAGTTCCACATTTGGGATCTGGCGTGTGAGCTGCTCAGAACGCTCCCCTCCCAGTCAGCTGGCGCCCATCGCCCTCCCCCGGTGTGGGGTCGCATGGTCCACCCAGGGGTCCACAGAGGCGGAAGGACTCCCGCCCATCTCAGCCCCTACCGAGGAGCGAGAGGGACCAGGACAGTGGACACCAGGAAGGGACGAGACTGGCAGGGCAGGGGGTGGGGCGGAGGCTGAGCTGGAGCGCAGATGAGGGTGAGGGGTTGGGGCGGTGGGGAAGGAGCGAGGTAGTTCCCAGATCAGCACATTCCGGAGACATCTGGACGTGCTGGAAAGGCCCCAGCTGGCCCGAGTGGCTGTGGCTTTAGCTTTTCCACTTTGTGATGTCAGGACCCAGCCCCCCCCTCCTCACAGTCCCCCTGGCCTGGTCCACCGTGGGGCTGAGAGCTGCGGTCACCTCCCCGGGCCCTTCAACCACCCTCGGGGAGCAAGACAGAGTCCCCGGGACATGGAACACGGGAAGAAGTGCCCTCCCCAAGCCACAGCTGGGCCTAGGCAAGAAGCCACCAGGACTTGCCCATTGACTGACTCCAGAAAATTTTCCTTTGGGCTAAAGCCAGGCGTGGTGGCACACATCTGTAATCCTTGCTCTCGGGAGGCAGAGGCAAGAGGATCCCTGCGAGTCTGAGGCCAGCCTGGGCTACATAGTGAGTTCCAAGGCCAGCCTGAACTACTCATTGAGACCCTGTCTCAAAAAGCCAAAATAATGATAACAGCGATAATAAAGAAAATTCCTCTTTGGGCTAACACCAGCCTCTCCCTTTTCCTTGGAAGGGAGATGGAGAAATGAACATTCCGGAAAGGGAGGCCTGCTTCCCTTGAGCTGGGGGATCACAGACAAGCCCACTAAGCCCAGGTTTTCCTCATCAGCTATAACAGAAATGTCTGCTGCACTGAATGAGTCTTCTCCCTGCTCTGCATGCTTCGAGCACCTTAGAAAGCCCGCTCATTTTAATCTCAGAACAGCGTGGTAGGTGGATGTAAGCACCCCCATATCGTAACAGAGACTGAGGTTCAGAGAGGTTAAGTCACCTGCCCAAGGCTACCCAGCAAAAAGCTGAGCCAGACTAGACCCAGGTCTGGGCCTCCCTGGCTCATAACCATAGAACTGTATTGTGTCTCCATAGGGATGAGGAAGACCAAGCGGTGCTCTGAAATTGTGCTCTGAAAGTTCAAGAAGGACAGAAAGACCAGGCAGGCATTGGTCACACACCAGGCACAGGAAGGAGGCAAGGATAGCTAGCTTTGGAGCGGGGTGGGGCAGGAGTCTGCCCCGACCTGGGGGTTCAGGGTCGCAGCCTGATCCCCAGCCGAGCCCATGGGTCCTGCACCTTCCCTGCAGGAAGGGAGTAAATCGGAGAGAATACAGTGCCACCTTTTCCAAAAATAAAACCCGAGCACAGTTCAGACCGGCTGGGACCTGAGGAAGCCAGAGGCCCAATGCTGAGTGCACCAAGCAGAGGGAGCGGCTAAAGATCCTAGCCAGGGCCGCTGTGGGCTCCAGCTGGCCCGGGCCTTGAGGCAGCTCCGCCTGATTGGCCACTAGGCCACTTGGGCTTGGCCTGAGCCTCAGGCTGCTCCTCCAGCACAGAGCAGGCCCTGTGCTCCCCAGGTAACTGGTCTACCTGGGGCTTCAGGATAAGAGCGTCTTGGGCACAAACAACCCAGAGGATGGGTACAGCAGGCCCCACCGGGGAGAGGCCAAGGGAAGGAGGCCAGGAAAATGGAAACTCTGTCCAAGAGAAGCTGGCGTGGGCACAGGGTCCACGACAGTCATTCCCGGAGCTCTGCAACACAAGCAAGCATGTAGATGCATTGGCTCACCGGTGTTCCTCTCTGGTAGTCAGTCAGCAAACATCTGAAACTTCCGAGCTTGCTACACTTGAGAGATATGGATAAGAACTGGATATAGCAGGACAGAGGCAATAGGCACAGATCATTTCCAATTACACAGAGGCACTTGGACTCTATCCTCAGGGTAGTAGGGAGTCATTGATTATTATTGAGCTGAGAATTACATAGTCACTTGGGGTTTTACAACTTTCTTCTTCCTCTTTTTTTTTTTGGATACTTTTGAGACAGGATCTCACTATGTAGTTCAGGCTGGCCTTGAACTCATAGCAATCCTCCTGCCTCAGCCTTATGGGTGCTGGGATTACAGGTATGTGCCATTACACTCGGTTTAGATCTTTCTTGATCAAACTCTGAAGAGGAATCAGACTTCAAGGCATGGACTCCTTTTCATAGATGACAGCAGGAAACAGGCCCATTCATCTCTATGTACAGAGCTGGCCGCCAGGCACATAGTAGGTGCTCAGTAAGTACCGTGCGAATGTATGAATATGGATAAACAAAGGTGACCACTGCCCTTCTTCTCCAGAGGCTCACAGTACCAGGCCTGGCACCTGGCTTCCAGTTCCTGAGCTGTCCCACGGGGATCCTCTGGCTGCTGCATATGGACCATGGGCTTCCATGGCCTCAGGGGTGCCAGTCACAGAGAATCCTAGCCCTGGGGGACAGTGCTTGCTGCCATTGCTTCCTCCTGCCCAGACAGAGCCTGGCACCTGCACCCTGGGCTGGGCCGTGGCCCGAAGATGCCAGGGATTGGCTGGGAACCAGGGGATCTTGGGTGGAGTCAGAAGCAGAGGCCTAGACTGCTGGGCTGGGGACTGCAGAGGGCATGAGACCTTCCCGACACCTGCTCTGCAAGAAGCAGCCTGTGGCAGTGCCAGCCAGCCTGTGCCTTTCCCTTTCCCAGTGTGCACTGGCACAGAAGGTTCCCTCCCCACTGCAGCCCCTCCTCCAGTCCCAGCCCTGGGCAAGCCAGGGACTCCCAAATCCTTTCTGTAGGCAGTGGCTAGGCCCACTCAGCGTTGAGTTCCGTGGTCATTCACAATAGTGCGTATGTTTGTGTGAAGCTAACCAGGAGGGTGAATGGGAGGCCACACACATATGTGATCGCGTGTAGTTGTTGTGTTTTGAGTCTGCTCATTATGTGCAGTGCTGCGAGGGGGCTCGAGGCTTCTAGTATGCTCTGCAAGTCCCTGCCACTGAGTCGCACCGCCAGCCCAGTGTGCAGATTCGAATCTGCATCCCTGAGATCACCTCTGACACCACGGTTGAGTCTGAGCTCATGTCTGACAGTGTCCACCTAGGTGCGTGCGTGTGAGAGTGTGCACACGAGGCTGTGGAGATGAGCTGGACTCATCCCTGGGTGGATGCAGCTTCCATTGTGTGGTGTCAGACAAGTGAGATTCCCTGCATAAGCAGAACCTCCCGGCCCACGTCCAGGAAGCAGGTGCATACCCACACAGTGAGCATCTCTGCCTCGGTGGTCTTGGGCTGCGCAGTGAGCTGTTCAGCAGGGGGGATACAGGCCTCAGCAGCTCCTTCCTGGGGTGTGTGGGGATCAGAGGATAAGCAGCAGGGGCTGGAACAATGCACACACCCCCGGGACCCCAGAAGGTATGAGAAGGCCGGCTGCATCTCTTCCAGGCCCAGAGAGGCCAGCACAGAGGAAGGAGCCCACTCTCAGTACTAATTCTGCCTCTGACGCCCTGCTTAGGGTTAGGGACATAACCACTGAGAACTGGGACCTAGAGCAGCGGGTCCACCTGACCTGGAATCTTTAACTGGGGCTTCCTAAATCAGTCCAGGGCCATCTTCCCTCTGCCAAGAAGCAGAGTCTGACTCTGGGAAGTCAAGTCCTGTGTCTCTTAGGACCCCTGAAGACATGGAGATCTGATGACAGCTGAGGACCCAGGGCCACCTCCTATCCCTGCTCACTTAGCCCAGCCCCCCACCCCCACACACTGAGCACAGCAGTGACTCAGACTAGCGGCCCTGCAGCTTGAAATGAGAGCAATTTTCGAGTGACCACGAGGCCAGTAACCACCCGGGAATGTGCGGGGCAGCGTGTTTGGGGAGGGGATGTCTGTGTGCCCAGACTGCGGGGCAGGAGAGGGGGAAATGTGAGAGGCCTCTCCCCAGGGCTCGCTGTCTCGGAAGGAATGTTCGGGATCGGGATTACCCCCACTCCATATCCCACAGCTCAGCCCTGACCCACGCTGGTATTCTCCCTCCTTTCCCCAGCGCAGACTGAATCAGCCTAGGTGGGGGGAGGGGCGGGGATGAGGAAGAGCTGGGGGCCTGCGGGAAAGGGCGCACCGGGCTGCTTTTAGGTGGGGACCCTTCTCTGCCGCACCCCCAGCAACCCCTGGTGTCCTCAGAACCTTGGTCTGACACTGACCCTAGTGGTGGGCTTGGGGGACGCGGAAGAACCAGGGCAATCCCATCACCGCCCCAGCGATGTTCCCTCTCTCCCACAGGGACAGAGACCCCTGCCCCAGGCATGCGCCCTGAGTGGGTTCCTGGTGGTGGGGTGGAAGAGCGGCCAAGAGGCTGGAGAACCCCGGGCCGATGCACCCCTCCAGCTGGGATCCAAGTGGGAGACCTCCCTCTCCATTTGCCCCGCCTCGCTGGGCAAGGGGCGGGGCCATGCTATTGGTTAGGGTATTGGGACACCGTGGGAGACTGCGGTTCCGGACACAGCAGGGCAACAGGGGGGACCCGGGGAGACCTGGTCCCCACACTCCGTGCTGCGAAGGCTGGGACCTTCTTCCTCACACCTCCATTGCCCTCTGCGGGTGGTGGCTTGCAGACTCTTCCTATTGGCCAAGAGCTTGAGGCTCTGACCAATGAGCAGGTGGGATTCCGATAGAGGGCGGTCCCAAGCTCGCCCGGGTTAACCATTCGTGGGCTGCGCTGGGCTGCTAGACCCGGATGACCCTCTCACATATAAAGGGCGGGCGGCTGTCCAGGCCGGAGGTATCGCCTTAGTGTTCGTGTGCAGGTCTGCAAGGGGGTGAGCCGGGGAAGCTCACCTCCAAGACAGTGGAGCCGCCGCTGGCTGCGCGTGGCAGCCAAGAAGCTTATATTGGCACCTCTGTAGGAAAAAGTCTCTAACGAGGAGGGAAACAAATCATAATGTTTCCTTCTCTGGCTTCTCTCCCCGTTGTCTGGAAAGGCACCCCCGTAGAAGGCTGAAGCGCCCCAGAAGCGCCCTCCCCCTCACAACCTCGACGCACGACCCTCCACCCTTCTTGGACTCCTGGCTGCCGGCTCCCCACTTCCCCTCCCACTTTCCCTCGGTGTGAGCTGGAATTGAGGATGAGGAAGGAAATAAGGGGCCAGGCTGGAGCTGCGGAGGTACGAAGAGTCTGGAGTAGGCTTTCCAGGAATGGGTTAGGTGGGCACAGAGGGAGAAGTGGGGACCACCCGGAGCTGCAGGGAACCCTCCCCTCAACAGCCCCAGCTCGCTGTGTGACCCGGGGGGAGGGTGGCTTCTTTCTCTGGACCTCATCTTAGCAAATGAGAGGCTGAGAGACCATGAGCTGTCTCGGGTCCCGCCTGCCTCTAAGCTAGAACTACTGAGCTCCTAGGTGGGGGCCACCGGATGGAAGCAGGCACCCTGAGCAGAGACCTGATGGTGGATGTGGGGTGCTGGGACGGCCCACCACCATCGCGCCCCAGAAAGCGCGGAGCAGGGAGGCCCCAGCATCTCAGTGGCCTCCACCCACCCTGCTGTCCCTGACTAGCTCCCCTCACCCGCGGGCCTGGCTGCTCTGATGCTTCGTCCTGCTGGGCTTTAGCTGCTGTTTCCAGCAGGTAGGGTGGGGGTGGGGGCTTCTCCTAAAAGCAGGCTGCAGCGCTCCCTCGCAGGTTCCCGTGGGCTTGGCGCCAAGGTCTGCAGGGACCCCAGCCTGAACGGGAGGCAGCGCCTCCTCTCCTCTCCCAGGCCCGGGGAAGGGGCTTGGCGCGCTCTTATCGCCTGAGACACAGCCCGGAGGCCGCAGCACTGACTCACCCTCCCTCCCCGCAACACGCAGCCCCACAGCCGGCCTTGGAGAGACCCCAGGGCTGGGACGGGAAGCGCCCCCTGCTGGGCTGGCCCGGCTCTGCGGCTCGGATCCAGGCCCAGCCAACACCGCAGGCTGGGCGTTGGGGGGGGGGCATAAAAGGTTCACAGGTATGGGCAGAGACTTGTTCTCCTGAGGCCCCTGGCGGCCTGGTGCTGCCCACCTGATGGACAGCTGATACTAGTGGCATTGCCCTCCAGGTACAAGATCCAGTCCCCTCTCCTGTGTTTATTTTTTTTGTTTCTCTTTGGGTTTTGGTTTAGTTTATTGAGACAAGGTCTTGCTGTGTAGTGGAACTTGCAGCAGCTCTGCCTCAGCCTCCGGAGTGCTGGGATTCCAGTGCACCACTGTGCTGAGCTAGTGGTGAGAAACCAGAGACCTGCCGCAGGGACTCAGTCTGGCAAACTGGCCAGAGAGAAGTGCTGGCTTGACTGTGGGCCCCTCCCTGCTTTCCCAGTTCCCCAGGCCTCAGTTTCTCTGTTGAATGCAGAGATTAGCTTCCTTGTCTTGTCATCAGGTAGTTGTGAGGATGGAATTGAGTGGTGCGGGGAGAATACAGAAACGGAGGAGGACCACTCCACTCCTGCTCCCTGGGAAGCGGGAACTGGAGAGGGACCTGGCATGGGGTTTCTGAACTCATCTCTCTGAATCCTCTCATCGGGCACTGTTGTAAACTGTGGATTTTATGATGATGATAATTAACAATAACTAAGCTGTGCGCGGTGGGGCATGCTTATAATTCCAGCACTCGGAAGGCTGAGGCAGGAGGATGGCTGAGAGTTAAAGTCAAGGCCAGCGTGAACTACATATCAAGACATTGTCTCAAAACAAAACAGAACTGTGCCAGAGATTTAGCTCAGTGGCACCTCGCCTGCCTGGCAGGCAAAAGGTCCTGAGTTCCATCCCAGTACCAAACAAAACAAAGCAAAACCAGACTCTGGATCTTCAGCCAGTCCTATAAAGCCCGTCCTTAACTGTGCACCAGGGGGAATCCAGTAGCTGAAGCAACCATGCCCTCTCTTGTAGCCTACCAGCAAATGCACTCTTCAACAAAGATGAACAGACAATATTGATATTTCTAATTCGTTTTTCCCCCCAGTACTGGAGATTGAACCCAGGTCCTCTTTCATATGAAGCAAGTGCTACTGAGCTACTTCCCAGCCGTCCTTTCTTTTCTTTTCTTTCTTTTTTTTTTTCTCCTTTCCATTTTATTTTAAAACAGGGTCTTGGTAAATTGCCCAGGCTGGCCTCAAACTTGTAATCCTCCTGCCTCAGCTTCCTGAGTAGCTTGGATTACTGGATCCCCACATCCAGCCAAACTATATTTATTTATTTATTTATTTTTGTACTGGGGGTTGAACTCTGGTCCTTGTGCTTGTGAGGCAGACAGCGGAACCACTGAGCTAAATCCCCGGCCCCAAGCTTATAAGAGGGGGGAAAAAAAAGCTTATAAGCACCTACTATATAACAGTTCCCAGAATGCTTCATTAAAATTTGTTTATTAACATTTTTTTTCTCAGTACCGGGGATTGAACTCAGGACCTGGCACTTGCCAGGCAGGCGCAGTGCCACTGAGCCACATCCCTGGCCCAACATTTGTTGAGTAATTATTATGTGCCAGGGCCTCTGCTGATGCTATACCTTTATTAATTAGTCAAATCCTCGTAACAATCTCAGCAAGTAGGAACTATTACTGGCCTCACAGTACAGAGAATGAAATGAACCACAGTTTACTTAACTTTTCCAAGATCACAGAAACCAAGATTTTTATCAGTTTTTTTTTTTTTTTTTAATGTTTTAAGACAAGGTCTCACTATGTAGTACTGGCTGGCCTTGAACCTCACTGTGGAGCCCAGGCTGGCCTCAAACCTTCAGCAGTTCTCCTGCCTCAGCCTTCTGAGCAATTGTCTATTTCAACATAACTAGTACACAGGATTTTCAATCTTTCTAACATGAAGAAATGATAAACGTGATGGCTGTGCTAGTGACCCCAACCCAGTCATTACACATCATGGCCATGTATTGAAATGTCACACTGTACCCCATAAATGTGGGTAATTAGTGTGTGTCAAGTGAAAATTTTAAAAATACATTTTAGAAAATTCTGGCTGTGACCCACTACATTGATTTCATAACCCATTCATGAGTCATCACCCACAGTTTGCCTGAGTCATAGCTAGAAGTGTCCAGACCAGGATCAGAACTCCTAGTATAACAATTTGGAAGCCAGGGGTGGTGGTGCACACCTGTAATCCCTGCACTCAGGAGGCTGAGGCAGGAGAATTGACAGGAGTTTGAGACCAGCCTGGGCTATGTAGTGAGTTCAAGGCCAGACAAGAACCAGGGTTGGTGGGGAGTTCGGGGGAGATGACATGGGAGCAGGACGAGAAGGGGCCCCACTGAGGCTGTCCCTGCCCCCTCCCCCACAGCACTTCCCCGAGCACTTGGACCACTTCGTGGAGAACATGGACGACTTCTCCAACGACCTGTTCAGCAGCTTCTTCGATGACCCAGCGCTGGATGAGAAGAGCCCCCTGCTGGACATGGAACTAGACCCCCCAGCGCCAGCCATCCAGGCAGAGCACAGCTACTCACTGAGCGGGGACTCAGCACCCCAGAGCCCTCTGGTGCCCATCAAGATGGAGGACACCACAGAAGGTGAGAGGTGGCGGCACCCTGGAGAGCCCAGGCCAGAAAGGACCTGACCCACAGAGGAGCCACCTAGTAACCCTCTTGGGGTGTGTGGCTCCCTGGAATCCCAGAACTTGGGAGGCTGAGGCAGGAGAATTGCTGTGAGTTCAAGGCCAGCCTGAACTACATAGCAGGACTCTGTCCTAATAAATAAATAAGGCCAGAGATATAGCTTAGCACAAAGGGCCTGGGTTCAGTATATCACACACACACACACACACACGCGCACACACACACACACACACACGGAGAAGAATTGGCATGTAAGAGGCAGCCTCCATCTCTTGACCTCATCTGCCCCACACCCTGGCAGAGGCATCAAGAGCTACTGGGTTGGGAACCTAACAATGCCTGATGTGTATCATCTGGGTGTCCTCATGGCTGCTGGGTGACACTGAGCAAGTTCCTTAAGCACTCTGGATCTCTGTTTCTTCAGTCATAAAACTTTAAAATGTACCTTGAAAGCTCCAGACAGGATTAAATATTCATAAAGCCCCCAGCTGTATGAATCAGTAATTAATATGTTTTCTTTGTGCACACTAAAGTCCCGTTAATACGAGGAGCGGCTCCAACAGTGGACAGCTCCTTACTCCCCTGCTGCAGCGGCCGTGGCCCTGTGTTTGTTAATTGTCCCATCTCTCAGATGGAGAGAGCCATGCCACGTGGGAGGAAGGAAACTGGTGGGCTTGGAGATGAGCCGCCCGGGAGCCCGGCCTCTGCACCCCATCGGGACGGCAGGTGGACTGGATGCGGCCTTGTACCCCCGCCTGGGGAAGGCCAGGCATGTGGGGCCCCTTCCGTGACAGGATCTCTACTCATCTCTGCTGGGCCAGCCCAGCTGCCCCTCTGCCACCCCATGTCTTTTTTTTCTTTTTTGGTACCAGGAATTGAAATTGTGACCTTTTGCTTCTGAGGCAGGCCGCAGAACCACTGGGCTAAATCCCCGGTCCCCACGTCTATTTCTTTTGAGACAGGGACCTCCCTATGGAGCCCAGACTGGCCTCAAATGTGCAGTGCTTCTCCTGCCTCAGCCTCGTCCGTGCTGGGATTATAGGTGTCCGCCACCACGCCTGGCTCCCAAATCTATTTTTAAAGCAATTTGTCTCTGGGCCTTCATGGAGGTGGCTCTCCAGAGGGAGGCTGGTGGCCTGACCTGTAATTTGGGAAGATGCTGGGTGTTCCCATGGCAGGCGCTGGATGGCGCCCGGCCTGGGAGCCGCAGACCCCTCTCCCACCCAAAGTGGCTCTGCGGGCCCTTCCTCTGTGGGCTGCCCCGGGGTGAGGACGCCCGCAGGGTGAGACTGGAAGACCCCTAGTGGGCAGGAGGTGGGCTCCATTCGCCAGTCTTGGGCCTCACGAGCCCGCCCCCTGCCCCCAGGCCTGGAATCTCCCTCCCCTCTGCTTCCCTCTATTCCCGCCTAAGCCTCTTGCCTGCGGGTGATTTATTTCAGCACCTCCCACAAGGCTCCCTGCCTCCTTCCTGCCAGAGCCGCCCATTCCTTCCTTCCTCTCCTGCAGAGCAATCTTTTAAAAAATGACTCATTCAGCTGGGCATTATGACTCACATCTGTAATCCCAGCACTGGGGTGGCTGAGGCAGGAGGATCACCATGAATTCAAGGATAGTCTGGACTAACAGTGTAAAGGTTCTGAGTTCAATCACCAGTACTAATGGGAAAAACAACAACAACAACAAAAAGCTTCAGCCTCTCATCACCTTTGGATAAATCATAGCTCTGGCCCATCTTCCAAGGCTGGGATGAGTAGTTTCTGTGCATTCCTGTTATGGAATCCTCCAAACTTCCCAATTAGGTATGTCTGTTTCTTTCCTTGTTTGAAAGCTTAAGAAGCCCAGGCTCAGAGAGGGTAAGCAACTTGCCTAAGGTCACCCAGCCAGTCAGGAAGGATCCAGCCCCACTGCCCCCATGCAGAAGATGCCCTGGGCTCTTCCACCCACGCTGTCACTGCCCAAGGGCACCCACTGGTCCCTCCCTGCCCTACACCCCAGCGGCTCTATGGGCGCAGCCGGGGCAGGAGGGGCTGGGATTCCCCTGAGCTGAGTCCTGCCGCTTCCCCCAGACGTGGAACACGGAGCGTGGGCACTGGCACACAAACTCTGCTCCATCACGGTGAAGCAGGAGCAGAGCCCGGAGCTGCCCGTGGACCCGCTGGCCGCCTCCTCAGCCATGGCCGCCGCTGCCACCATGGCCCCCACACCCCTGCTGAGCCTCAGCCCCCTGTCCAGGCTGCCCATCCCCCACCAGGTGAGCCTGGGGACCGTGGTGGGGTAGGGGAGGGGCCAGCGGTCTGTGGGACAGGCTGAACAGGAGGGCACCACAGCCCTCGGAACTGAGCATCAGAAGCCCAGAGCAGGCCTCTGCCTCCCCTGGCTGCCCTTCACTGTGCTGTGATGGCATGTGCCACAGCACCTTCACAGCGAGCTGAGGTCCTCCCTGTGTGCAGAAAGCCTGGCCGGGGTCTCAGAGACCGAGACACCCCAGGTTACTTCCCAGAAGTCGGGCGTAGTGGCACAGACCACTAATCGCAGCAATTGGGAGGCTGAGGCAGGAGGATGGCAGTGAGTTCCAGACTAGCCTGAACTTCCTGTATCCAGGACTCTGTGTCCCACGCAGACCATGAGAGCCTCTGTGCCAACTACAGACCCCGCAGGGAGAGATGGCCCCCAGTCCAGCACCCAAAACTATACCTCCCTCTAAGAGACCACCACTCACATACATGTGGGTGTCACTTGTGTGAAGCCGTGTGTGTTCCTGGGCGAGTTTAATATAAATAAGTTGAAATGGTTATGTTTATTAAACAGGTAAATCTGATTCCATCCATCCCTTACCTAAACTCCATTGGAGGCTCTCATTGCTCCCAGGTCCTTTTTCTGGATTCTACTCTTACCTCTCCTATGGGACTGAGCCTCAGCCAAGGAATCCTTCCTTCTGTGCTGTTTTACGCCACATCCCCCAGCATTGGACAGCTTCGGGGTGCCAGTCGTTTTCCCATCACTGGGAGAAAATATCCAATACCGCAACTGAAAAGAGCAGAGGTTTCAGAGGGTATAGTCCATGGTAGGCCAATTCCAAGGCAGAAGCAGGCGGCAGAAGTGTGTGGCAGAGGAAAGGTACTCACCTCATGGCAGCCAGGAAGTCACTCTTCCGGGCCACACCCCCTATCGCCTACCAGGCCCCAACTCCGAACAGCAAGTCAGCAGTGGACTCATCGGTGGTGGACCGACTGATCAGTATAGCACCCCATGATCCTGTTACCCCCCAGAAGCCCACCTCTGAACACATGAGACCCTTGGGGGATACTTTGGAACTAAACTATAGCAGCCAGACATTATCTCTGGTGCTCAGGGTAACCCACGTACGAAGACCTAAGTGACCTTCACAGCCCAGGGTCAGCCTCCCCCAAGGAGGTGGCCTGGCCTCAGAGGCCACAGGAAGCCCTCCTGTTCTGAGCTGTAAGTCTGAACTACACTACTCGGTCACATCCTGTCCTCTTAGGTGTGGCATGAGACCTTGCCACCGGACACACTGGCTGTGTCCAGAACCCCAAGCCGGGCCACTGTCTTGACCATAGGGCAGACACTCAGCCTCAGGGAGGAACGTGGGGTGGCGGAGGGTGGGGACCCCACCAGAGACAGCTGACAGACTTGGACCTGTCCTCCCTCAGGCTCCAGGAGAGATGACTCCGCTGCCAGTGATCAAAGCAGAGCCCCAGGAGGTGAGCCAGTTCCTCAAAGTGACACCAGGTGAGTGTGTCTGGGGAAAGGTTCTTTTTCCCTCAAGTATTGGGCAGACGGCATCTTCCGCCCTTGGTCCACCCGGGACCCCACCCTTGAAACTCCCCAATTGTCCCCTAACTATCCTGTCCTCCCGAGCCTACCCATTCTCCGTCATCCGGGCTCCCTCCTCCAGCCCCCTCCTTCGGTCTGTGACTTCCACCATCATATCGACACCCCTGCTAACCCTTCCGTCAACTCACTAACTGAAGCCCACTCTGTAGCCACCCACTGTCCAGTCACCCAACGCCTCTCTGAATATCCCACTACCCATCTGTCCGACCGTCCGTCCAGCCATCTCACTGTGCATCCTCCGCCCATCTGTTCATCTGTCCAGCCAGCCAGCCACCCATCCCACAACCTACCCCACTGCCCGCCCATCCATCCAAGTCCACTAGGCAGCGTCTCCCAGTCCCAGGCTCTGAGGAAGCAGAGAAAAGACGGTCCTTGTATCCAAGTAGACCGCACGAGATCCCGGGGTCACAGACAAACTACCAGTGACCCAGCAGTGACACGGGTGTGCTGATGGCGAGTCTTCAGAGTCTTGAGAGCTCGTCCCCAGGCCAGCCAAGGAAGAAGCGGACTCAGAGAGCTTCTTGGTGTTGGCCAGACAACGAAAGGGTAGCAGAATCTTTCCAGTCCTGCCTCATTAATGTATCAAACACTGATTAAGTATCTACTATGCATCAGGCCCTGAACTAGGTCCACAAGGTCTAGAAAGGCAAATAAGGCCAGTTTCACACCCTCGGACCTTGGAGAGAAGACACGATGCACACAGATGTGAGAAGAGGCTTGTGTTAGACCCTTACTTGTAGGGCACCCTTCGTCCCTAACGCATCTCACAGACAGTAGCTCATCACGCGCTCATGGCTCTGAGCAGAGCCCTTCTGCCGCCATTCAATAATTAAGGAGGGGAGGCCAGAGAGGTTACATAACCAAGGCTGGGGTCACACAGCTGGGAGGTGCCACGCCAGGACTTGGCCTCGGGCCTCCCTCATTCCGAGGCCAGTGCTCTTTGCAGCGTGGCATCTAGAAGAGGCAAATAAATGTCAAAGGGAGGGAGAGGGTTCTCCTGCAGGAGCCAGCCTGGTGCAAAGCCCAGAAGGACAAGGCCGGCTCTGCCCTGCCTGGCGCTGGGGCACCGGAAGTACCTGGCCCTCTGTGCTGCCCCAAGAGCTCTCAGGCTGTCGGCCTTCCTGGCACCAAGGCTACAGAGTGGACAGATGGGGGACAGTGTGGAGGGGGGCCAGGCCCCTGTGCTCTTCTGAAATTGCAATCCCTGCCACCTGCCCTGAAACCGGAAATGGAAACGCTGGGTGGTTCTGGCTAAGCATTTTGGGGTCGAACACAAGGGGGAGAAGGCTGCTCACTCAGTTGGAGCCCGCACAACAGGCCTGGTTTGAGACCCCAGTCACCCTCTGGGTCTACAGAGGTGAGGCTTAAAGAGCCTGAACCTTTGATCCAGGGGTGGTGACATGCACCTGTACTCCAGCGTCCATCCTCGAACTCAGGCAGCTGAGGTGCAAGGATCCTGAGTTTGAGGTCAGTCTGGGCTGAGACCCTGCCTCCAAAAGTAAAAGGCAGACGCAGAACACACACCGCAATCCTGGAAGGAAGGCATGGGGTGGACCCGGTCTCTGCGCTCTCCAACCATGGCGAGGGCCACAGGGAGCTGGGCCCTGGTGCTGTCTGTCCTGTGTCACGGAGGGGCTTACCACATCGCCGCTGCTGCCCAGGGCCCGTTTCCTGCCGTGCCAAGCTGAACGCCTGCTGCCTCAGCCCTGCCCGCGGGTGCCACCCTGCTCACTCAGTCCCCTCTCTTCCCAGAGGATCTGGTACAGATGCCGCCGACGCCCCCCAGCAGCCACGGCAGTGACAGCGATGGCTCCCAGAGCCCCCACTCCTTGCCCCCCTCCAGCCCTGCCCGGCCCGTGGCCCGCTCCTCCAGTGCCATCTCCACCTCCCCCCTCCTCACCGCCCCACACGTAAGGAGCTGGGGGTGGGCTGGCCCCGGAAGAGGGAAACTGAGTCAGTCCCACCAGTGAGTGATGGAGGGTAGGGTCAGGGCACCCCAAGTCTGATCCCCACATCATGAGGACTCAGAGACTGAACTTGGACCAAATCTGGCTAGCAGATGGCGGTGTCTTCTAACCCTGCCTCACGGTGAAGAGGAAAGAGGAAACTGAGGCAGAGAGAAGCAGACCAAGAGGCCCCCAAAACCCATAGCGCTCCAGAGTGTAGCCCCAGGGAGAAGATCCTGCTGGGCTTGCTAGAGTCCCCAGATGGAACTCAGATCCGCCCATTTTTCAGAAGAGGAAACTGAGGCCCAGGGAGTTGAGCATACAGACAGCACGTAACAACCCTTGACTTTGAACCTAGGGCTGCCCGGTGCCTAACTCCCACGTCCTGCTCCTTGCAGAAATTACAGGGGACATCAGGGCCACTGCTCCTGACCGAGGAGGAGAAGCGCACCCTGATTGCTGAGGGGTACCCCATCCCCACCAAACTGCCCCTCAGCAAGGCAGAGGAGAAGGCTCTGAAGAGGGTTCGAAGGAAAATCAAGAACAAGGTAAAGGGGGACCACAGCACCCCGACCCCACCTGGGCTTTGGGGCTTCCTGGTGGGTGCGGCCTGAGCGCCCTAAGTGGTGCCCGCCCCGAAATCGGGCCCCAGAAATAGAGATGTGGTGCTGACTACCCCTCCTCACCCCCAGATCTCAGCCCAGGAGAGCCGTCGTAAGAAGAAGGAATACGTGGAGTGCCTGGAAAAGAAGTAAGGCCCGAGGCGTGGCCCGCTGCCCCCGCCGCTCTCACCGACCGCTGGCTGGGTCGTGGTGGCGGGCAGCGCTCTGGGCTGGGGTGAGCCTGGGGGAGTCCTAAGCCCGTGCCTGCTTGGCCCCTCCAGGGTGGAGACGTTTACATCGGAGAACCACGAGCTGTGGAAGAAGGTGGAGACCCTGGAGAGCGCCAACAGGTGGGGGCCCCTGCCGCGTACCGGAGAGGAGAGTTCCGGGGACCCCGGCTAGACTGAGCCAGGGCCGCTCCTGTGCGTCCGCCCGGCGCCCAGGCCTCCTCAGCTACGAGTAGTGAACGCCGCCGCCAGGCTGGGGAGCCGCGCAAGGGAGGCGGGACAGAGCTCCTGCGCCCCAGGTGCCACCCCAAACAGCGTCCCCGCGACTTGTCAGAGATGCAGTCTCAGCGGGCGTGGGGCACACGCTGCCATCCCGGAGTTCAAGGCCAGCCTGGGCTACCCAACAGGACCCTGCCTGAAAACAGAGGGAGAGAAATGTTGATTCGCAGACTCTAAGCCAGGTGCACTGCATAGAAACTCCAGCAGTAGAGCCCGGAAATGTAGGATTGATTTTATTTGTTGCCGTACTGGCAGTTGAACCCAGGGCCTTTACACTGAGCCACATCACCAGCCTTTTTGTTTCGTTTCCTTTCATTTTTTGAGATATGGTCTCCATATGTAGTTCAGGCTGGCCTTGAACGCACTATGTGGCCCAGGCTGGCCTTGAATTCGTAGCGATCCTCCTGCTTGAGCCTCCTGAGTACTGGAATCACAGGTGTGTTCGCCACGATGCCCACTTTATTTTTGAGACAGGCTGTTGTTCAGGGCAGGCCCCAAACTTGCAATCTTCCTCCCTCAGCCTCTCAAGTAACTGGGATTACAGGGTCCTCCCCAACCCCCACCCTGTGCCCAGGTGCACCCGTTTCTGTGGTTTTTTGTCTGCAGGGAACTGACTCATAGGTGCACTATCTCAGAGGATCACGTGAGGGTCCTATAAGAGCAATTCAAGGCTCCAGAGTGGGGCTTGGCATTTAAGAACGTTCAATTCATAAAATGCTAGTTTTTCTTCTTTAATTCCGATTTCTTGATGGGGCCAGCTGTGACCCTACCTAGGTCCTTAATAAGTATTTGCTGACAGCAGTGTCAGTGATGTAGCTGACAGCCGGGTAAGACCCCAGCGCCAGACTTTCCTCTTTCCCTTCCTCCTACGACCTGGGCTTCTCCCTGATTGGCCAGGAGAATTCCAACCCCGCCATCGCCAGCGTGGGGGCGGAGCCTTCACAGTTTAACACCCCCTGGTTTGAAATAGGACCGGGCCCTAGGTGCTATTTCGCCACCTGCTGTTCACTCTGGGAACTGCACCCGCCAGGCTGCATGGAGGAGGATTCCACGCTGGGTGGGACTGGCTAGGGAGCCCACAATGAGCAAGGGAGATTGACATGGAGAGCCATAAGTAAAAGAGGTGCTATGGGTGTTGTGATCACAGCAAAAGCACCAATAAAATCAACATAAACGGTAGCTGCCATGCTCACTTCAGCAGCACATATACTAAAACAGATGTTTGCGAGACCAGTTAGTAGGCACTGTGCCAAACACTCCCTTCTTAGCAGTTTAAGGTGCTGTGGGGTGCAAAGGACAGAAGGTCAGCGTGTCTGTGGCTGGGGTAAGAAAAAGAAGGCCAGTCAGGTGTGGTGTCTCTCACCTGCAATTCCAGCACTTGGGGAGGCTGAGTCGGGAGGGTCACCAAGTTCAAGCTTAGCCTGGGCAAATTAGTGACTTGGTAAGACTCTATCTCAAAATTTAAAAATAAAACAAAGGGGGCTGAGGATGTAGTTCGGTGGTAAGGTCCTGGGTTCAATCCTCAGTACCACCAAAAAAAGCCCACAAAAGAATAAAAGAAAAAGAAGTCTGGCCTTGCTCATTTGCATCCTGGGTGCCCCTGAGCTTCCCTGTGGTGGCCCAGGCATCCACAGAGCCAGACCCCAGGTGGCCGCTCCCCAGGCACAGGAGGTGACTTTTTCTCTTGCAACTGAACCAGGCTTCCTGTGTGCAGTCCAAGCCAGAAGCAGCCCAGCCCCCGGGGAGAGGCCGAGGAGGCAGAGATGGCTACCTGGCCAGGCCCTCTGGTAACCACTGTGCTCTCCTCAGGAACCTGCTCCAGCAGCTGCAGAAGCTCCAGACGCTGGTCACCAGCAAGATCTCCAGGCCTTACAAGATGGCGGCCACCCAGACTGGGACCTGCCTCATGGTAGGACCCACTTCCCTCCGGGCCGGGCTCCGAGGGTGTGGTGGTGTCGCGGGTGTGTCACCTGGGGAAACTGGGCCTGCCAGAGCCTTGGGCAATGGGACCGTCCCAGTGTGGCTGTGTGGGTGACACCAGTGAACCAGCTAGGGGTGGGTCCCTTGGGGAAGCTGCTGGCACAGCCCCTGTGGAGCGAAGGACTTGGGGAGAAGGCTGAGCAAAACCCCGGCACCCAGAAGAGTCTGGGAGTGGTGGTGCAGACCTGTGATCCCAGCTCTCTGGGAGGCCGAGGCGAGAGGATCTCAAGTTTGAGCTCAGCCTGGGCAATTTAGCAGTTTAAGAGACGCTGTCGCAAAATAAAAAGGCCTGGGAAAGTTGCTTGGTACAAAGGCCTGGATACCTAGTACTGCAAAAAATAAACCTAGGGTGCGGTCTGGCTCAGGCCTCTGCTCACACCCGGGGCTGCTTGGGGCTCCTTGTCCTCAGAGCCTGGGCTCTTGCTGAGCTCGGGACCTGCCCTCCCGATTACAACCCCTTCTCCCACAGGTCACGGCCACACAGGCTGTGGCTGCACTGCCAGCCGCCTCTTCTTCCTTGTCCCGCCGCACTGTGACTGGGGTGATAACACACACCATGTTCCTTCCCGTCTGCCTTTTAATCAAGTGCATTACAGCATGCGAGGACTCTAGGGGCTCCTCTTCTCCAGATGGTTCTCCCGCCCTGCTGTGGCCTCCATTCTGAAGGAAATGGAACAGTATTTTCCATTTAGGATCCGCGTTTTCGGCACCCTGAGGCCCCTGGGGGCGGGGCGTGGGAGGCGGGGCGCCCTCAGCCGCAAGTCTCCCGCAGGTGGCGGCCTTGTGCTTTGTCCTGGTGCTGGGCTCCCTCGTGCCCTGCCTGCCCGAGTTCTCCTCCGGCCCCCAGAGTGTGAAGGAAGACCCGGCTGCAGACAGCATCTACACCCACAGTCAGAGTGAGTCCTCCCCAGCCAGATCCAAGACGGGGCTGTGTTTGGAGTTGGCGTCGTGTCCACGTCCCTCCTCCCTCTGCAAATGGGGAAACTGAGGCCCGAGTGAGGGGGTGTCTAATGCTGCCTGAAGCACCGTGTTAAAAGGACCCCAAGGCTTGGTGACGACTACCCTGGCTGAAGGACAGGACGGGGTGGCTGGGTTCAGATGTTTGCCATCCCTACCTAAGCATGGACACCTATAATCCTAGCACTCAGGAGGCTGAGGCAGGAGGATTGTGAGTTTAGGCCCAGCCCAGGCAATGTAGTGAGCTTCAGTGGCCAAGGCAGAGGAACTCATTTCCCGGGAGCAGGACCTGGTGAGGTGTGGGAGGAGGAGGAGAAGGAGGAGAAAGAGGAAAGAGGAAAGAGATGAAGGTCAGAGAGAGGGAGAGGGGATTGGGGGGTGGCAGCCGGAGGCCTCAAAGCCACCCGTGTGGGACCCTAAGGCGCAAGAAGCCAAGAGAGGAGGGGCCCTGGTGGGGACAGGAGCAGGGAGGAGGCCGCAGGGAGAGGCGGTGAGGGGCTGAGTGCAAGAGGCCGCACCTGCCGCCGTGGATGACAGGCTCGAGGGAAGAGGCGGCATTGGGAGCTGCTGCCTCCGAAGCCTGGCCCTTGCACAATTCCAGAGCCGCCTCTCACTCGCTGTCAGATCTGGGAGGTCAGGGCCTAGGGCCCAGTGGGCAAGGACGAGGGAGCATCAGCTTACCTGGTAGCCTGGACCCTGATCATGGATCTGTGAAGTGCAGCTAAAGAAAACCTCATTCCCAAGCCGGGCCTGGTGGCACACGCCTTTAATCCCAGCACTTGGGAGGCTGAGGCTGGAGGATGCTGTGAGTTCAAGACCAGCCTGGGCTACATAGTGAGTTCCAGGTCAGTCTGAACTATACAGTGAGACCCTGTCTCAAAAAACCAAAAGAAAAAGAAAAAACCTCATTCCCAAGCCAGGCAGGGTAGAGCACACCCATCCTCCCAGCATTTGGGAGGCTGAGGCAGGAGGATCACCACAAATTTGAGGCAGCCTGGGCTACACAGTGAGTTCAAGGCCAGCCTGCACTACACAGTGAGGCCTTCCCTCAAAGCACAAACAAACAGGGCCGGGGATTTAGCTCAGTGGCACAGCACCTGTCTGGCAAGCAAGGGTCCTGAGTTTAATCCCCAGTACCAAAAAACAAAGTATACCTCATTCCCAAAGGTCTGTAAGATTGCAACAATTTGATCAAGCATAAGGATCAGATGGGGACGAGACTTATTCCAAGGCTCCATGAAATAAGTAGTTGTGGTGAGGTTAGAACTCAGCTGGATTTGATGGCTACTCAGGAGGCTGAGGCAGGAGGATCCCACAGTAGAGACTAGCCAGGGCAATGAAGCAAGACCTTGCCTCAACATAAAATTAAAAATAAAAAAGACCGGGGGCATGGCTCGATGGTAGAGCACTTGCCTAGCATGTGTGAGGCCCTGGGTTTGACCCCCAGTACACAAAAAGAACAAAAACAAACAAAAAACCAGAGCTTCCAGGTCCCCAAGCCCAAGACCTCCGCTTAGGAAGCACTAACTCTCTGAACAGTTTTACTAAGCAAGTTTGATCCCTTGGCCTCTTTTATGCATTTCCACAACACAAGGTTGGCCTTTATGTCCCTATTTTCCCTCTCAGTAAACCGAGGCTCAGAGAGGGTAAAGCAAAGTGTGTGTGACCAGCCCAGGCCCGAACGATTGTAGAGCGCGCATCCTGAACACAGGGCCAGGAAGTGGCCGGTGGACCGTGTGGGGCCCCCCGTCACCCCACTGCCCTCCCGCCCATCCGCAGTGCCCTCCAGGAGCCTGCTGTTCTACGACGAGGGCGCCCCTTCGTGGGAGGACGGCCATGGGGCGCTGCTGCCCGTGGAGCCCCCGGAAGGCTGGGACCTCCAGCCCGGGGGCCCTGGGGAGCAGCAGCCCCAGGACCCACTGCAGCTCGACCACCTGGACGGCACCCACGAGACCACCAAGTACCTGGGCG